TCATGGTAATTATAGCGTCTATGGTCTTCATGTTAAAAAGTGTTTGTTTTCTTTATTGTAAAGAACTGACACTTCTCTGCTGTCTTCCAGCATTGAGTTTTGCCATGGATCAGAAAAGTCACATTGATTTAGTCTGCATTACAAAAAAATAATTGCTATTGGCAATCATGTTTATTTGGCAATACAGGCCATCTGCGGGACTGATTGTATTGTTGCTGTTACTGCTGTTATTATTGAAGTATTTACTCATATTATGCATCCGTGAATACGAACATACATTAAATGTACCTTTCAATGCCAAAAAGCAAATGTTAAGCAATGACTATTCAAGAATCATACATTTAATGTTTGAGAAAAAAAAAAACACAAAAATTACCTTCTTGCAGTTAAACAGAGTAATATCTAATTTTTGATTCCTCTCATAAAATTTTCACAAATAGTCTGTCGTGTTCAAGGAGTCTGATGTGAGTCAAACTATATATTTGCCTTAAATAAGATAACACTCTCCTTCCATGGAAAATCAGAGATTGTTAAACAATTCTAACATCTATCACTTTTATTTCCTCTCCTTGAGTCATAGGGTACATTAATTTATTTTGTGTTGGTGACTCAATAGAGATCTTTTTTGTGTTCTTTAAGGGATTTGATTTCTATTCTAGCTTCTCTCAAACCTGCATTGGGAAAAAGTTCACTTTGGATGCCTATGAACTCACTCTTCTTCTGGATGTAATTATGGCAACCCTAAATATTACTCAAGATGAGATGTTGACCAGCTGCAAAATCCTCAGTGGCAGTTTGTACTGATATCCACTTTTTAAAAGTTTTCTTACTTATTCATTTTATTTTGAAAGTCAAAGAGACAGAGAAAGAGAGGGAGAAATAGAGAGATCTTCTGTCTGCTGGTTCACTTCCCGAAAGCCTGTGGGAGCCAGGGCTGGGCCAGGCTGGGGCCAGACACCTTGAACTCCACCCACGCTTTTAATGTGGGTGGCAGAAAGCCAAGTGCTTGAGCATCACCTCAGCATCCAAAGTGTGCATCAGTAGGAAGCTGGATATGAAATGAAGCAGGGACTTAACCTCAGGCCCTCTCCCATGGGGTGCCAGTGTCCCAAGCAGATCTTAAACACTGTGCCAGTTTCCCTGTTGTTTAGCTAATTTTACTGAATACTGAACAGCTGGCATTGTAGTAAACCCTTTAACACATTTCACAGTGTTACAATTTAGCATATTTAAGCCCAACAATAAAAATACATAAGTACTTTCAATATCCACATTTTACAGAGGAGGAAATTCAGTTCCATAAAAAATAACTAACTTGCCTAGGATCACACAGCTAGGGAGGGCAGAGCCATAATTGAAAATAAGACAGTGTGATTCCAGAATCCAAACACTGTACTGTTACTTGAACATACTCACCCGATAGTATCTAGGATAACTGTCATTAATATACCTTTTATAGCATATACATTGACAGAGGATTTTGTGGCTTATCAACTCCACAGATTTCTTCATTGTGGTTCCTAGTGACAGCATTAAGACAATGATTTCTACAGAAAAATTGGTACTCTCCAGTCAAAACAATTATTTAGACCATGCAACTGTTTGAATTTTTCACTCTTTAATACATTTTTGGGCATAAATATTTATATCTCTAGTGAGATTGTTAAGGAATGAAAGGTAGATACACACACACACACACACACACACAAACACACTCAAGCGGAGCACATGCAGGCTTTTGAGAATGGTTTCATAAATCCCAGATCTGTGCGAACCTCTTTTTATGCTTCAGACTGTGTAGAAGGCAAGACTTTGTGTGCAGCCTGGTGGTTTGCTTGCCTTGCCTCTCACCTGTATTGATTGGAAAACAGTGGTAACAGCATCATGATCACATTCTTATGGCTTTCAACTCAGGGCATGATAAAGTTGCAGTGAGTGCAATTTCTTCTGGGAAAATAAAACTTTTGCTTCCTCTCTAGAAATTTGCAAAGATGAATAAAAGCAAAACAAAGCAGAAAAAAAAATGGAGTGAGTTGCTCTGAAAAAATGGGCTCCAATAGAGAAAGTCTTTAAAAAAACATTGTTATCAGATGGAAAATAACACATTTGAATAAATATTTATGTATGCTTCCGTAGTTTTCTGGCTTATGCTTCTTCGTGTACCTTGTAGGCAGTTAAAGAAACAACCATAAATCATAAATAAGGAAGAAAATGAACTCCATGAAGTCTCTGATTACTCCATTACTGAAATCCAGCTTAGCAATCATTTCCTTTCCTTCTCAATGTATTTCTGTAAACACTCCAAAACAAACCTGTAGGATTTTTAGAATATATTTAATATAAATGAAAGTAGGACCATGCATAGAACTAGCAAAAAATTAATTCATATTTCCCTCTAGCAAAGAAATATGTGATTGGGAAAAAAAAAAACTTAAGGAAAAACACCAGTGAAGAATTTAAAATAACTTGAAATAAACGGCATAGGGTGTTTCTATGAGCTATAAAACAACTTAGATGTCTATAGAAAAAGCACTTTAATATTCCTTTTGACCATTTATTTTTGTGTGATCTTAGGAACATAATTTTACCTTGATTTCTTTTGATTAACTGAGCATGAGCCAGGCCAGATGAAGGAATGACAGAAATTAATCTACCAGAAACCAAAATATATGGTTCTGGCTAATATATATATTAGATATATATTAGATATAAACAATCTATCAAGGATGAAGAACTTTCCTATCATAACAGGAACCACCACAGATCATACAGTAGAGCCCAGCTCTTCCCTGTGTAACATTACTTCTTTTTCTCCCAGTTTCACAGAAGAAATCTGAATCCTTTGTGTTACATGATCTTCCAGACATCTCTGCCTTGCCTCTGTGTGTATCTCCTGTGACTAACCTTGCATACATCTCATATATCATGATATTCCATTTGCTCATCTAGTTTAATACAAAAAATCGACTTGTAAATAATAAAACCGCATCATAATCTTATAACAATTTGATCTAGTTTTAATTAAAGAATATAAATAATTTTAAGTAGGTTCAAATGTATAAGAACACCTGATAATTCAAGGTGGTTCTGATGCTTCTTATTGTGAACTTGTAATTTCAAATAAATTCAGTTACTACCAAAAATGTATCTGTGAAATAACTGAATATTGGCTCTATGTTTTAAAAATAAGTTGAGGCTTTTAGAGTGAGTTCACAGCAAGGTGGAAACTCATATCTATTTTTCTCAAATGTGTTAGACAAGGCCACCAGAAACTATGTTAGAGGCTAAAATTAGCCATTGTAATAAAACATAAAGCAATATTGTTTCATACTGTCACTGTATTCCAATATATAATATGTTTTGATAGAATTCAATAGTTTTTATAAGTAGGAATCATTCAAACAGCTGTTTTTTTTTCTTTCTATATATATTTGATGCTAAAAAAAAACAGTTTGATAGTCATAGAACTTTAAAAACAATGATATTTACTTAAAAGGTAGAGTAAGACAGATATGCTCTGACTGGTTCACTCTCCAAATACCTGCTACAGCCACGGTTGGGCCAAGCCAAAACCAAGAGCCTGTGACTAAATCCAGGTCTCCCATGTAGGCGGCAGGGATCCAAGTACTTGAATCATCACATACTGCCTCCCAGGATGAGCATTATAGGAAGCTAGAATGGGGAATAAGTTGAGACTCAGCCCAGGGCACTATGATATGACAGGAGATTCCCAAGTGACATCTTAACTGCTGCGCCAAACGCCTGCTCCAGAACTTTTCAATTGAGTGCTTTAGCATAATACAGGAACAGTCTTTATGTAATTACTATGATCAATCAAGCAGAAGGTATAGGGGAGGCAGTTACTGCGAGTTAAGTTTCTGAATGACAAAGTCACATCCCATATCACAGTGCTTGGGATTGAGTCCCATCTCCATTCCAATCCAACTTCCTGCTTATATGTACTCTGGGAGGAATGACGATGGCTTGGTGCTGGAGTTCCTGCCACACACATGAGAGATCTAGATGGAGCTTCTCGTTTCTTACTTCGGCCTGACCTGGCCCTAGCTGTTGCAGGCATTTGGGGAGTGAACTAGCAGATGGAAGATCTCTTTCTATCTCTGCCTATAAAATAAATAAAAAATGACACAAGGTAGAAAGTTATGAAGTATGTATGTATGTATAGAAGACTTGAAATGTTATGTGTTTTCCATTGAATTTAAGGCAGTTTATACATAATGGTTGATGAACAGCTCTTTAAAAAAAAAAAAAAAAAGCAAAGGTGGTGAAATCAATTCCCTAACCCAGAGAATTTCAAATCAAAGTGACAAATTTTATTGCACATTCGAGACAATGAGGAATACACACACAGCAAGGAATAACCCTAAAATCCAGCATCAAAGTAATTGAAATTAAGATCATCAGTGGAGTGGTAATGGGAGAAAATATCACCATTATTGTTTTCTATGAATTTTTAAACAATAAACACATTCATTTATTGAGTTTAGTGATGATCTCATCTAGAAATGAAACAGTCTTAGGTTCTATGCTTCTAATTTTATACTAGTTAAAATCGCAGTACTATTTGATTCACAATTGATGCCATGGGCCCTTCTTATCCATCAAATCCTGATTTACCAGAATTATTGCAAAAGTCTTTCACATTCCTGTGTACAAGATTTGTAGACTACATGAATCACACAATACATTTATTGTTATTTGTAGACTACATGAATCACACAATACATTTATTGTTATTTTTCAAGAGTATTTAGTCACTCTTGTGTTTAACAGAATACAAGTTCATTAATCTGTCTTGTAGGGTCAGTGTGTTCTGAATTACACGTGGTCTACTACAGTTCTCAGCCTTCCCTGCAGATGGGTTAGTACCATTTGACTAGGCTTGGCCAAAAGACTGTAAGAGCACATGGCATAGGTCACTTTAGGGACAAGACAGTTAGAAACTGCCATACTTACTCCATTTCTCATCTCTCTTCCTACAGTGACGTTAGTGTCTATGCTTTCCAAAAGGCATAGGCATGGAATGTTGGGATGTCACCTGACCTGTTCTGGTCTCTACCTCAGTGAGAAAGGTACCTCTTGTCTTCTGCAAGGCAGCAAAGATTTAAGGTTTATTTGATTCAGCAGCTAGTGCTGATTATGTTGACCAATGCAATAGATAACACAGTCCTTAAAGACATTTTTGTCATATATTTTTCTCAATCAATAGATACCAAAAGGATGAATAACATCATGTAAGTTTAATTTTTTATTTAAAAGAGACTTTGTATAATAAAAGATAGAAAAACACTAATCTAAACTCTCCAGATTTAATAGCAAAATGCACCATATGTTGAGTTTTAGGATTTTTTAAAAAATCTTTTTATTTCAGAATAATTTTAAGTTTACAAAACACAAGCTGTAAAATAGTACAATGAGTTACCAAATATGCCATACCCAGTTTCCCTATTGTTAACATCAAATGTTAGTATATTTATCACAATCTATAAACCATACCCAGCTTCCTTTATTATTAATATCTCAAGTTTTTGTAATCTATTTGTCACAATTAATGAACCACTTTGAGTTTTCCCTATTCTTTAATCCAGACTTCTCCTATATTTCCCACCACTAGATTACGTTGATTGTTTAGTGACTGCATTGATTTAATAGCACAAAAAATTCTGCAGTGTACTCCTCTTAATGTTTTCTATATGTATTATTAGAAATAAGTATCACTTGGTGCCACGTTAAAGATTAAACTGGAGAATCTGGTCAGAATTAAGGTGTTAACAAGGAAGCATATGAAAATATGCTCAACACCTCTAATTAGGAAAATACAAATCAAAACCACAATGAGGCACCATCCCACACCCACTTAGATGACTGGAAACAAACACAATAAACAGAAAGTAACAATTATCCAGGAGGAGGTAGAAGAATTGAAAGCCTCATGTACCAACAGTAGAATTGCAAAATGGTGCAGTCCCTGTAGAAAATAGTATGATGGTTCCTCAAACAATTAAAAATAGAATTATTATATGACTCAGCAAATCTACTAATGGTTATATATCCAAACAAACTAAAAAGAATTCCCAGACAATTTTATACTCACATTCATAGTGGCACTATTCACAAAAGCCAAAACGTGGAAGCAACCCAAGTTTCTACCAACAGATGAATAAACAGACTGTGATGCAAACATACATTGGAATGCTCTTCGACTTCAAAAGAGAAGAAAACTCTGACACATGTTTCAACATATGTGAACCTTGAGGACATTAAGTGAAATAAGCCAGCCTCAAAAAGTCAAATCCATTTCCAAGAGTTGCTGAGATAGTCAAATTCATAGAGACAGAAAGTAGAATGCTGATTGCAGGGTCGAGGGGCAGGAAGGAGAACAGGGAACCATTGCTTAACGGGTACAGGGTTTCAGTTCTGCAAGATGAAGAGTTTTGGAGCTTGTGCACAACAATGTGAATGGACTGCTAACCTGTATTTTTAAAAATATGTGATGTGGTAAAGATGTGTTATATTTCACCACTATTACAAATAAAAGTACACATGAGGGAAAAGAAATAAGGTGTCAGATTGAACATTTATTCATTTCAGATCAGCAAACAGACAAAACCTTATAAGGACCAAGTGTCAGTCACACAGAGAACACAAGGGGACTGGGACCGTAGAATTTTAATGAGAATAGAACAAGTTAACCTGAAATGATTGCCCAAGTCTGTCAGCATTCTGAAGAACCCAGATCCTGGCCAATTATCCCATTTATGGAAATGACAACATTCTTTACTGAGTTCAAAACTCTGAGGAAAAAAAACTAATCTCTTAATTTGTGTAAATCAGCCTTACTTAATCACTTAACTAATGAATTTTAAAATTTTTACATAATATCTATTAATATTTATGGACTTATATTTCCCCACAATGCTCCTCAAAATGCTAGAATAGCATATCGAAAATAATGTGTTAAATTATTACATTCACTTACAGTGAACGTATTTATAATCATGCCTTGAAGAGCAAATTGTTATCCTTCATAATCAGGCCTAACACAGTATCACGGGAGTTGATCTCTTCCTCTCAGAGAGAAACCTGAGTTTAGGTGCTCATATGAGGACACACATAAACACACACATTACATGGCCAGATTCAATCAAGTATTTACTCTGAGCCTGTTATTGTTACGCACGCTATGTTATTGTTTTGCGTGTAGGTCACCTCATCTCATCACAACAAACCTATGACAAAAGGTTGTTATTATTATCAGGATTGTGAGGCACCTAAAGATTTAGGAATTTGCCCAAAATTATATCATCAACTATTGCATGTAGCTTAAATTTCAGCCCAGGCCGGCGCCGCGGCTCACTAGGCTAATCCTCCGCCTAGCGGCGCCGGCACACCGGGTTCTAGTCCCGGTTGGGGCACCGGATTCTGTCCCGGTTGCCCCTCTTCCAGGCCAGCTCTCTGCTGTGGCCAGGGAGTGCAGTGGAGGATGGCCCAGGTGCTTGGGCCCTGCACCCCATGGGAGACCAGGAAAAGCACCTGGCTCCTGGCTCCTGCCATCGGATCAGCGCGGTGCGCTGGCCGCGGCAGCCATTGGAGGGTGAACCAACGGCAAAGGAAGACCTTTCTCTCTGTCTCTCTCTCTCACTGTCCACTCTGCCTGTCAAGAAAAAAAAAAAAAAAGTGATCTTCTATATTAAAAAAAAAAAAATTTTTCAGCCCAAGCAATAGGACTGGCACCAAACCCTGAACTGTTATTTTATATTACAGCCCTTTTTCACATGTATAGATTTGAGCCTTTTACAAGTATTTGGTTCTTAAAAAAAAAATCCAACCTATCATGATGGAAAAAGGAAAATAAGCACCACCAGCAACAAAAATAAACTCCACCACACAAAAAGAAATACGTGAACGTCACCAAAAAAATAGTTTCCTAAACTCAAATTGCTCTTGGATGCATTTAAAAGTTAGTGGCTAGCTTCTGTCAACCTGAAAGTTGGAGAAAAACTAGACTTTTTAGAAAAGGCCAGTTTATAATGTTTTGCCTGAAATGGCAGAACATTGGCTTATGAACGGAGTTAATTAGTTGAGGAACTTAGGTTGTACTCCGGGCTCCGCCACTAACTGGCCCTTATATTGCAAATATCTGTGGCTATTTTTGTGTCTCAGTTTCCTCTTTTGAAAGGTGAGAGGACACACTAGATGATTTCTAAAGCTTCTTCCACCGAAACTTGAGGCAATTTTATGAATGTGGTGGATGGGAGGAAGATCAGGGTTGGGGAATCTACAGGGAGATGGAAAAGGGGTTCACCTTAAATTTGATATATATCAGCTTTTTTGAAACTGAGGAACAAGCTATCTCCATGCTGAATTTTTGTGGAGTCATTTGTTTCATTTTAATAAAAGTTTATATCCATAAGTGAACGCAGGGGATGCCTAAGGAGAACAGCTGCCTAAGGAAAAAGCAGTATGACTGAAAGAAGTCATTAGCTTTCTCCTGCTGCTGTGCCACTGGTACCTGAGACTCAGCTTGGAGAGGAGCCCTCTCTTCAGCCAGAATTCCTTTCTCCCTTCCCATCCGCAAACACATGGGAGGTGATAGCGTGATGAAAGGAGAATGCATGTAGAATCCAGAATATGGGACTCAGAAATAAGTGGGTAAATGGTCTTTGGTTTCTGAGGATCATATAGAATGCTCATGAATAGTAGAAAAGCAACAGGAATGAAGTATATGTTTTTCTTGTCACCACTGCATGGTGAAAGGAGTAAGAGCAAAACTAGAACCACCGGGACAGATTATATCCCTGTGTTATCACGAGTTTTTATAGCAAAGCAACATATCCAAAGACACTCAGACAAATGAGGAAAGTCTGGTCCACATGAAACAAAATGTGTTAAGGTAACTGGCATCAGATAAGAGTGTAAGCAGCCAGAGTGAGCTTCTGGCCCTAGGTTACTCTTATATATTTCTCAAAAAAATCTAGGTAGTATTTGGGCACACAAAAAATTACTGCATTTAAGTGTCTGTCATGGAACAAATGCATGACCCTTTAGCTCCCAAAATGTGACTGCAAGTGCTATGACTCCTGTTGATTATGAAGGTCCCCCAACCCCGACCCCTGCCATATGCTCGCTCTGTTCCAACTCTTCCCATGGCTCTTCATTTAAAATCAATGGGTAACTACTCTTCCCTGTTACTCCTGTTTGACATTTGGCTATCCCTATGCCTCTAAGTAGAAGTACAACCTTAATATTTGATGGGCTAAAGGTATTCCTTGCTTGAATCTCTGGTGTCTCCTCTCTCACCTTCTCACTCTTGGCTATTCTGAGCTCTCTTTCTCTTTCCCTCCCCTCTCCCTCTCTCCTTACCTCCCTTCCTCCCTCTCTCTCCTTACCTCCCTTCCTCCCCGTCTACCTCCCTCCCTCTCTATCCTCTATCATCTGTCCTCTCTCTCCACTAGGTCTGAACCCTTCTAAGTCTTGGTTTTCGTTACTGAGATTTAGTCGCTACTTCAGAATGTAAACCTGAGCCTTTATGTTCTCATAGTTATAAATCCTGTCGTGTAACGTGATCTTTGTTCTTCTCCAGTAACTCTCCATCTGCTTTCCACTTACATAAATGAAGTTGTCTTTGCTTACTGTTCAATTCTCTGAAGCTCATATTGTCACGAATTTACTCAGTTGTAGACTTGCCATTAAAAACTCAAGAAGCCAGAAGAATCAAATAAGACCTTTTTTTCATTTTCCTCTTCCCTTCGACCATATTAGTCATGAAAAAGAAGAAAGAAATACTTAGAATGTATTCGTAAGTGGGAGATCAGTATGATCCTGCTTATTAACCTTATAATGCAGTCATTCTCTACGTTTCTCTTTTCACTTGATGTGTCCTTTAAATAAGTTAACCCTGTTGTTTTCCACATATCAACAATGTTAAGTAGGATCAGAGCTCAAGGTAACATCTCACATAGCATGATATTCATATTTTGTAGTTTAAAAGAAAGTTGCAGGCTCCTATTAAACAACAATAAATCATTTCTGAAATATAAGTCACAAGACTGTTTGAGACTTATGTGGTAAATTGAAATGTTTGTGGGAGTGTGTATTATGTTTTAATTCCTTTTCTCCATGAACATTTTGAAATTCCTACATGTAGATTTTGTTCTCCATTCACAGAACCATTGCTTTCATTAGACTGTTCTCAAGAACTATCTTTTCAAGTCTTACGTATATCTCAAGAGTGAAATATCAACCTCTTTGAT